TAAACCAGCGGTTCTCAACCTGTGGGTCCCTAGATGTTGTTGGACTACAACTCCCATCATCCCTGAGCTCTGGCCTTGCTAGCTAGGGGTGATGGGAGTTGTAGTTCAACAACATCTGGGGACCAACAGGTTGAGAAAGGCTGCTTTAAACAGAAGCTACGGTAGCACACTTAAAAAGGTAAAGGTAAAGGGACCCCTGACCATTAGGTCCAGTCGTGACCAACTCTGGGGTTGTGGCGCTCATCACGCTTTATTGGCCGGCGTAAAGCTTCTGGGTCATGTGGCCAGCATGACTAAGCCGCTTCTGGTGAACCAGAGCAGCGCATGGAAACGCCGTTTACCTTTCCGCTGCAGCGGTACCTATTTATCTACTTGCACTTTGACGTGCTTTCGAACTGCTAGGTGGGCAGGAGCAGGGACCGAGCAACTGGGAGCTCACCCCGTTGTGGGGATTCGAACCGCCGACCTTCTGATCAGCAAGTCCTAGGCTCTGTGGTTTAACCCACAGCGCCACCCACGTCCCTGCTAGCACACTTAGGCTTGTTCAAAACCCACAACCACCCTTCAAGGTAGGCTAGGCTGAGATGCAGCAACCTGCCCAACACAATTTGAACCTGAGTCCCTCTAGTCAAATCCACCCCCATCAGGGTGCTATTTTTATCCTAGCAGAGCTTCCACTAACCAAGCTCCCTTCTGTGGTTGCACTGTATGTATGAAAGTGCGTGATCAAGCAACCATCCCCTTTGTCACTGCAGCAAGGCCTGTTTCCGAGGGCAAATCAGAGGAGTTTGTTGGCTGTTTTATTTCACCGCCTGAGGATTTCCCCCTTCTGTCTGTATCTCAGAAACCACTGCCTTCGAGACATGCACTCAGAGACAGAACATTTGCTGTCTCCCTCGGCCCCCACGGGAGAGATAAAGCCAGCGACTGCATCTGCATGTTTTAAAAAATAAAATAAAATCCCTAGGGCTTCACTAGGCTCTTAATTTCATCTGCCCTGCTGGAAGCAGAGTCTGAAATGAGGGCGGGGGCACATGACTGTTGTGATTCTGTGCCAAAGGGGATTTATTTGCAGTACAGGGCAAAGAGAAGCAAACTTTTATGGGAATAACATTTTAAAAAAAGATTAAAGATTGTGAACTTTTAAGTAAGTTTATTGTCCTCATGGAAAGGGATGCTTGAAAGCAGATAGGTAGGTGGAGTCTCAGGAGCTAGCGATGGCAGAGTGGAGTTTCTATGGGGAGGGGGGACCCACTGCGCCTCCCCCATGATGGACAGAAGGAAAAGCATACAAAAAACCGAGCACTGCAAAATGAATGATGAAAAGAAAAAGTTGTATGGTGTACAGACATTGAAAAACCCAGCTTCTTTTGGCATAGGGTTCTGATTTTCCCCCATCTCACCTTCGCCCCCTAAATTTGGCATACATTTGAATCCGAAAGAACAGCATTTGTCTTTATAAGAGCAGGATCTCTTCATACCCAGCTCTGATAAAAGCGGACTGGAAAACTGCGGTCAATGCATGGAAGGGGCCGATAACTCTGTGGCAGGACATCTGCCCTGCATGCAGAAGGTCCCAGGTTCATTCCTTTGCATTGCCAGTCAAGGCTGGGTGGGAAAGACTCCTTGCCAGCCACTGTGGACAATACTGAGATGGATCAGAGACCTGACTCAGTACAATGCAACTTCCTATGTTCCTATTAGAATCGGTTCTGAATTCAAACCATGAGGACTAGGATCTTGGTTTTTATTTTTTGGGAAAGAGCTGGGGCTCAGTGGGTGAGCATCTGAGCTAGATGGAGCAAAGGGCTGATCTGATATATAAGGCAGCTTCCTATATCCTTATCTCCTCTGCAGGGTGCAATTGAGGGGGGGTTCCCCCTCTTGTTTTAAGGACAAGAAGCACAAGAGGAAAGGCACCATTCTGTTAAAACATGGGAACACCCCCCTTCCTTGCACAGCAGAGGAAATTTTGTACATAAAAATAGCACCTCCCTCTTTTGCGTAGCACCCTTAAGCCCTTTGCAGCACCAGACCAGAGAGCAGCAGCAACGTTGGTAAATAAATAGAAACAGAATCACGTGGTGGAGCTGATGGGGAGAGGAGGAAGAGAGAAGGACAGAAGTTAGCAGCTTAACTTCTGCAGGGTGTGAACAACAGGGGTCAGCAAACTTTTTCAGCAGGGAGCCAGGCCTCTGTTCCTCAGACCTTGTGGGGTGGCCAGACTATATTTGGGGGGGGGGGGAATGAACGAATTCCTATGCCCCACAAATAACCCAGAGATGCATTGTAAATAAAAAGACACATTCTACTCATGTAAATACATGCTGATTCCCAGACAGTCTGCAGGCTGGATTGAGAAGGCGATTGGGCCAGATCCGGCCCCGGGCCTTAGTTTGCCTACCCATGAATTACACTGTGAGGAAGGGTGTCAAATACGTCACCCCTCAGCTGCTATCTATCCCTGGGTAGACTTTCCTGAATTGCAGAAAGTCTTGAAGGTTTGATTGCTTTTCTTGGCCTTACATGGAGGAAAATCTCATCCTGAGCTATTAAGTCCCATGTGATCCAAGTAGATCCACACACACACACACACACACACACAGAGAGAGAGAGAGAGAGAGAGAGAGAGAGAGAGAGAGAGAGAGAAGATGCAAGGTGTGGGGTTTGGATACAACTTACTGCTACTTCAATCCCAGCCTTGCAAAGTTCACAATGTTTCTGTTCCACAAAATCCATTTAATGGCCTGTTTTGCCCCCACAGGTCAAAGTTATTCATTTGCAGTACATCAGTCCCTGGGGTGCAGGGGGGAAAGTACTGATTCCTGCCCCAACCATGATCCTAGCTTGGTTACCTAGAGCTAACGTTCACTCGCCACAGGTGAGTGGGCTATTTGCGATACAGCCACAGTCATGCTTTTAGGACTTAATCCATGCTAGGGTTACAATGCTGGTCAAGCTTGAAAAAGCAGAGGCTTTCCCTGAAATATAGTGCCTTTGTTTCTGTGCAGAGTGCCCTGCCAATAAGTCTTCAGTCAGTTCCCGCCCCCACACATTAGGACACACATCTTGCAAAAGGCACCTCTGTCCTTCCAGAAACCACACACACACAAACCAGGTGCCAATCCACCACCAAGAAACTTTGATCCAAACACACAGATCTGTTCCAGGGTTTTGGATCTGGGAAACAGCCAGGAGTTCTGACCAAACTGGCCACGCCACACACTGGCTCCCCTGCTCAGTCTTCCACATGTGTAAAATGGGCATAAGAGCAACCTGATACTTGATGGGTCTGTGGCAAAAGGAGAAAGGAAGCAAGGGCTGAAATGTTGCAAGATGTTGCAGAGACGGAAACGTATTTAAAACACTGTTGCGGCTTAACGCTGCGATGGATTATTCCGCCCTAAACGCATTCCCTAGACAGTTTTGTAATTGTGGAAATTATAAATGGGGAAATAGGCACCCAGACATAATTGTGAACAGCTCACCCCACAAGCTACAGAGAGAGAGAGAGAGAGAGAGAGAGAGAGAGAGAGACTTTATGAAAAGCAGCCTCACTCAGGGTCCTCAGGACTCTGGTATATTGTGAAAAGGGGCACCCAATTGCACCCTCTCCAAATCCTTTTCGAATTGCACAGTACCACTGATAAATCAAGCCCTGGAGATTGACGCAAACCGGAATCAAAACAGAGAAAGGCAGCCCTCTGCCCAGGCTCCGCATTGATTCCACGTTGACCTGTGGAAAAGCTTAAACAGCAGCAAATAAACCATTTCAAATCCTGGAAAGAAATGGGGGGCGGGAGCTGCTGGATCTAGGCTTCCTTCAGTAAAAATGCTGTACCTCTAAACACAGGGTTGCAGTCAACTACCTTTTACTCAGAGTAGACCTATTTAAATTAATGGGGCCGTTTATACCCTTCACCCTAAAGGTCTTTACAACAATCGGGCACAACGCTAAAATCAGTTTGCAGCAACTTATTATCACGTAAATAAGTTGGGTCTCAAACACATGCGCCTCAAGCGGAAGAGGTTCAGCCGCGGACCATTGTAGCCGATGGACCTACTCTGAGCAGATCCAGTACTGGCTGCAACACGCAGTTACTAGGAATGGCATCCAGCGAAGTTCTACTCGAGAGTAGACCCATTGGAATTAATGGGTCTGTAATAGCCACGCTCGTTTTATTTCAGTGGGTCCGTCCATCCTAGTACGCCTGACGCGGGGCACAACCCAAGGGATTGCAAGCCCCACCGGCGTCCAGGGGGTCTTACTTCCGAGTAGACTTGCCTGCCATTGCATTGTGCCCACAGAATGGAGGTTCCCCCCACCCACCCAGCTTCCCAATTCAAAAAGTGAGCAGGAGAGGAAATAAATGAAAACAAGCAGAAATGGCCAGGAATCCAGGGAGCCCCAGAGATGCTCTTTTTGGGGGGAGAGTCGGGACAGAGAGAGAGAGAGGAGGAGGAGGAGGAGAGCGGCAGGAGATTAAAAGCGTAATAACGCCGGGTATTAAGTAGTGACCCTTGGCGAGGCTGGAACACAGCTCCAGACAGGGCCGTCACGTCTCCTGCGGTTCGCTCGGCGCGCGCCATCCCCAGCTTCCCAGGCGATTTGGCCTCTGGGCGCCGATCCAGCCCCCGATCTCCCTCCTGGACTGAGTGGCTGGGCGGGGGCGGGGGGGAGGACGGCGGCGGCGGGAAAGAGTCGGATCTGGCCAGAAGGATCGCCCTCCCCACCCGCTTTCCCAAAATAATCCCGGGATCCCGGAGTTGTTCTTCATTACGCACGGCGGCGGTTGTTTTCCTTCTGCGCCCCGCACCGTGCGTAATGAAGAACTCCGGGATCTCTGGATTTCAAAGTGCTTGGCGCGCCTCCGCTCCCCGATCACCCCGCTTTCTGGAGGTTGGATCCCCGCAACATATATATATATTTTAAAAAACACATTTTGATATTATAAAAAAGCAGCAGCACACAGATCGATCAGGACCAATTCTGCACTCACCCGCACCTGCCCGGCGCTGGAGCGTCTCCAGCCTCCCGCAACGCAAGCGGCGCGCAGAAGGAGCAGGGCCCCCCTGGAGAGATCCAGCCTCCTCCAGCTCTGCAGCTCCCTCCCCTTTCCCCGAAGGCGCCCCTGATTTCCAACCCCCGCTAGCGAACCCCCCTCCCCTTTATAAAGGGCAGGCGAGGGCCCGCCCCCTGCTCCTCTGATGGCCACCCCAGCCAGCCAATGGGCGCGCCCTGGCACCTAGCAACACCCAGCCGGTTGGCTGCCGGCGGCCGCAGCCCCCTTTTTTCCGAGGGGCCAATGGGAAGCGGCGGCGGGTTGGGTTCCCGGGGCTGTCCCCCCCCCCAGCTCGGAGGAAGAGGGAGCTGAGAGGCGCAGACAACAGCTGGGCGGCCAGGCAGCCAATGGCAAGCGCGGAGACCCCGCCAGCATGGGAGGTGGGAGGGAAGATAACAAACCGAACGCAGCGCGCCTTAAAGGGGCCGCGGGGTGCAGCGTCCCGGGCCAAGGCGGAGGAGCGGAGAATGGGCTTCCTCGGGAGCAAGCCCCGTTCACCTCTATGGGGCTTGCTCCCAGGTAACGGCTTGGAATCGTGCGAGGCGCGGGTGTCCCAAGTTGCCGATCTGCAGTCCTATGGCTATTGTTGTTTAGTCGTGTCCGACTCTTCGTGGCCCCATGGATCCCTATGGCTATTACTCAGAAGTAAAATGCATTGGATTTGTTGTTTAGTCGTTTAGTCGTGTCCGACTCTTCGTGACCCCATACGCCAGTCACTCCTGTCTTCCACTGCCACCCGCACTTTGGTCAAACTCATGCTGGTAGCTTCGAGAACACTATCCCAGCCATCTCGTCCTCTGTCGTCCCCTTCTCCTTGTGCCCTCCATCTTTCCCAACATCAGGGTCTTTTCCAGGGAGTCTTCTCTTCTCATGAGGTGGCCAAAGTCTTGGAGCCTCAGCTTCAGGATCTGTCCTTCCAGTGAGCACTCAGGGCTGATTTCCTTCACAATGGAGAGGTTTGATCTTCTTGCAGTCCATGGGACTCTCAAGAGTCTCCTCCAGCACCATAATTCAAAAGCATCAATTCTTCGGCGATCAGCCTTCTTTATGGTCCAGCTCTCACTTCCATACATCACTACTGGGAAAACCATAGCTTTAACTATACAGACCTTTGTTGGCAAGGTGATTACTCAGAAGTAAATTGCATTGGATTAAATGGTACTTATTTCCTCCACCACCACCACCCCAGTTAATTGGGTTTAGGATTGTGGGCTTGGCCAGGAGATAAGAATCAGGAGGATTCCGCTTGCCGGTTGTTTACTGCAAAACAAGAACAACAAACCCCAAAGAGCCTTGTGGCACGTTGAAGGAGCACGCATTTGTTATAGCTACAGGGGTGTGTACACACACTCAGACGTGCATAGCAGTAGAAGGAGAGTTGTATGCAGTGGGGTCAGAGAAAAGCAGAAATGTCAGAAACGCAGGTAGTGACCATTCAGATTAGAGCTACAATGTAGGCAGGATAAGCACAGAGACTCTTTAGGGAAGCAGTTGATAGGCTATGAAACAAACCGACTTGGTAGCGCTGAGTGAATTTACAACTGCAAACCAATGTCTCTATTAAGTCCCAAATGAAATGCATTGGATGTCTCCAGTATTTGCAATGTAGCAGCTTCACTCGGGAGCTTTCCTTTGAAATTCCATCCTTCAAGCCTGGCCATTCTAACATCAGTGGGGAATGCCCTTGAAATGTGCTCCTACTAGTTTCTGAATGCTGCTATTTCTGAGGTCAGATTTGTGTTCTTTTATTCTTTTGCTTAGGACAGCTTTTCCAAACCTTCCATATGTTGTGGCTTACAGCCTCCATCATTCTTGACCATTGGCCATGCTGACTGGGGCTGTTGCAGGTTATGACCAGTTGTTGGGAATCCCAGGTGGGCAGAGTGCCTAGTTCAGTCCCTGGCACCTCCAGGTAGGACTGGGAATGCTCCCTGCCTGAAACACTGCAGGGCTGCTGCTACCAGTCAGGCCCTCTCCAGCTCACCTTCTGGAAGGGTCTCCAGCTATTAGCTCCTATGGCAACAAATCACTTGTGCCCAGCCAACTCTTTAGTTATGCAAAGGTTCAAACAAAAGAGAATGTCCCAGACTATCTGTGTGCCAAACTATCTGTTTGACATGAGACACTAGCTTGACCATAAAATAATAAAATAAAACTATCCTCTTCTGCAGACTCAAACCTTACACAGCTGTAAAAGAGAGCCAGTGTGGTGTAGTGGTTAAGAGCGGTAGTCTCGTAATCTGGGGAACCGGGTTCGCGTCTCCGCTCCTCCACATGCAGCTGCTGGGTGACCTTAGGCCAGTCACACTTCTTTGAAGTCTCTCAGCCCCACTCACCTCACAGAGTGTTTGTTGTGGGGGAGGAAGGGAAAGGAGCATGTTAGCCGCTTTGAGACTCCTTAAAGGGAGTGATCTGACCAAACTGCGGGAAGTAGTGGAGGACAGAGGTGCCTGGCGTGCTCTGGTCCATGGGGTCACGAAGAGTCGGACACGACTAAACAACAACAACAACAAAAGGGAGTGAAAGGCGGGATATCAAATCCAAACTCTTCTTCTTCTTCTTCTTCTAAAAACCACAGGATTGGAAGAGACCCATAGCCCAACCCCAATCCTAGAACAATTTGAATTGCATCATTTGAATTTACTTGTGAAGGCTGTGGGAGTCAGAATTGCGCTTGGCTTAACCAAAGAAGGAATGACAGCCAAGACGAGCGCAGAGAGAATAAACCTACATCAGCACAGCCAGACGCCTTCCTCTGCCCCAACTGCAACAAAACATGTCTCTCCCGCATCTGTTTCTACAGCCACAGCAGGCACTGTAACTCTCCAACAGTTTGACTTCGCCTCCCAAGGTGAACTCCTCCACTGTCTCCCAAGACAGAAGGAGGCCAACACAACAACGTTTAGAGGTTCCATGATCAACGGCTACAGTCGTACCTCGGAAGTCAAGCGGAATCCGTTCTGGAAGTCCGTTCGACTTCCAAAATGTTTGGAAACCAAGGCATGGCTTCTGGTTGGCTGCAGCAATCTCCTGCAGCCAATCGGAAGCTGCAGAAGCTGCACCAGATGTTCGGGTTCCAAAGAACGTTCGCAAACCGGAACACTCACTTCTGGGTTTGCAACGTTCGGGAGCCAAAACGCTTGACTCCCAAGGTGTTCGGCTTCCAAGTACGATTGTACTAGCCATGATGGCTATGCCCTGCCTCCAGAGTTGGCAGAAGCCGTAATGCTTCTGAATACCAGTTGCTGGAAATACCAGTTGCCTGCTGCGGGGCAGGCAGTGGGGAGAGTGCTCTTGGGCTGCAGACCCTCTTGAGGTTTCCCCACAAGCGTCTGGTTGGCTACTGTAAAATCAGGATGCTCAATTAGCTGGGCCCTTGGCCTGACACAGGAACCTGTTCTTACATGCTGTGCATCTCAAAAGGAGCCACCCAGCCCAGCCTATGACACTAGCATCCAGAATCTGGATAATTATACTCCCCTCTTACTGGCCTTGGGTGTAGGACTTGCGATTCCTTGCAGATCACCTCTGAACCCAAAACAGCAACTCACCAGCAACAGCAGGACACATAACAGGTATAACGAGAGAAGTTTATAAAATTATGCATGGCATGAAGAGAGTGGACGGAGAAAGGTTTTTCTCCCTCACTCATAGCACTAGAAAACTGAGTGTTGGGAAACTCCGGACAAATAAAAGGAAGTCCTGGCTCTGCCAATAAGGGGTTCTAGCGCCACCTAGTGTTGGGCTCCTTGCTTTCCGCCCTACCAGACCCTATAGGCATCACAGCTACCCACCAAGTACAAGGCTTCAAGCATCTGACAAACAGGACTCTAGTCCACAAAGACAATGCCATAAATAAGTCTGCTGGACTGAAGAATGGATAAGTAAGATAATGTGACTAGGCCGAACTGGAAAAATTAACAGCAAAACTAAGAGGATCTATGAGGCAAGGGTTTTATGGAAGAATGGATGCCTTTTTTGGACTATTTAAAGAAATATTATAGGATGAACTCACGAGCAGGATTTGAGCTATGAGCGACAGACGTGATTAGATTATAAAATTGTGGTTATGATTTAATAGATAGAAGATAGGGTGCAGCAGAAGAGGAGAAGCAACAACTCTGTGGAAAACGGGGTGGGAAGTAGACAAAGATAAGAGAAAAGATGAAATTGATTTTTGATTGTGTATGTTGAAAATTAATAGAACATAATGGGAAAGAATGAAATGAAATGAATCTGTTGGACTTTGCAGGTCCCGCAAGACTTTTCTCTTTCTTACTGTGTTGGAGTCTGACCAGGCTCCTGCTGTTTCAAGTCTGCTGTTTCCAAGCCCTGCTAGACAGATACTTTTAACATTTCATTTTTATGCTGTTTTAAAAATTTATAGCCCTTTATTTTGTCAAAACAAAATATAACCTTGAGACTGATGGGTGTTTAGCATGCAATAACGGCAAGGCAGTAAAGACAGCAGAAGAGAAATAACTGAGCACATCACACACAGCCTTTGTCTAGCACCTTCCAGATGTTATTGGACTCCAACTCCCATCAGCCCTGAGCACCATGGCTAGTGGTTAGGGATGATGGGAGTTGGAGTCTGGTGACATTGGGAGGGCCAATGGTTCACCAGCCCTGGTCTACACCGCCTGGCAGAAGTTCTTGCAGGATTTCAGGCAGGGGTTTCTCCCAGCCCTACCTGGAAGTGCCTGGGATTGAACCCGGGACCAGCTTCAGGCAGCCAATGCCCCCCCCCCCGTTTTAAAACAGCTGATCATGGTTTGTGCAGCAAAGAAATGAAGGGATCACATTGCACACATGACCGAAGGGCAGCTCCCTTTGTGCCCAAGATTCTTTGGGTGCCAGAAGAAGCAGGATCATCTAGGCAAGGTTTCCATGCAGAGAAAGACAATGAGGAAGAGAGAGGGGCCTGGCTCTTGTTTTATATACAGTGCAGGATCTGCTGGGCGGTGCTGGTTGCATATGAAATGCAGCCGCTCCCCCCCTTGAGAGGACTGCTGCAGAATGCAATGGAAGATGGGTGGGCAGCAGGTTTTAAACTGTTTTATCTTATCTTTTATCTTAACTATTTTTAAAAATTTCAAATAGCTGTTTTTTATTGATAACTTTGTTTTATTCCTTTTGGAAATGGCATACAGGGTTTTCGCACAACTAGACAGTCTATAAATTTTATGAAATAAATAAAACACACAAGCTTGATTGCATTTATATCCCCACCTTTTTTCCAAGGAGCTGAGAGTGACGTGAACATGGTTCTTCTTCCCCTCCTCATTTAACCCCCTGCAACAACCCTGTGATGCAGGTTGTTTTTGTTGTTATTATGTATTTTGTGTTTTTTATACTGTGATTTTATGTTGTGAGAGCTGCGGGTATAGTGCGGTTAAATGAATGAACGAAGGACAGAGGGATGGATAAATTTCAGTTTCTGACTTTTCTAATCTGCTGTTCCCAGTTTGCTCCATTTGTGTGTTGTTCTTTTTAATTATGGGACCTTTAAAACAAAAACAAAAAACAGCACTTTAGTCTCCCTTTCTCCTTCTATATACATTTTTTTAATGCAGCACACTCCTAGAGTGTGCATTTTAAATGTAATTTTCACTGCTGTTTCCGCTGCCTTTTAAGCACCTTCCCCCAAATACAGTATGCATGTTTTTGGTGGGAGAACCGCACTGTGAAGTTTGGAGAACTGTGCGTCTCAAAAAAAGAATAGCAGTGTTTCGGTTCCAATACTGTTCTGGGATGTGCCCTTTAGGTGAGGGGCTGGTTGCATCAAAATCTGGACTGAACCAAGCTTCTCCCCCATCCTTAAGCACACAAACACACACACTATTTCTAGTCAATCAGGTTTTGGAACCAGTAACCTGTTTCCCTTGCTTATCAGAGGTGAAAGGGTGAGTGTACACACCAGTGACTTCTGGGCCAGGGGCGGTTAAGGTGGTGATTTAAAGTCACGGTTGGACTACAGCTCCCATCATCCCTGACCATTGGCTGAGCTAGCCAGGGCGGATGGGATGAGGAGTCCAACAGCAGCAGAAGGGTCACAGGGTCCTCTTTAGATTTAGACCCTGGAGAGGCACTGCTGCTCAGTGTCAACTGTAATGAGTTAGATGGACAAATGCTTTGAGTCAGCTGGGGAAACCCAGCCAGATGGGCGGGGTATAAATACCACCACCATCATCATCTTCATGACAATCCAGTTTCCTGAGAGTTCTGTCTGCAGCCTGAACTAAAGGTAAAGGGACCCCTGAACATTAGGTCCAGTCGTGGCCGACTCAGTTCAGAACACTGGCCCAGCTCCCAGAATGTGCTAAGATCATTTGCTTCCCCCAAATCTGTTGGCTCTTCAGAGTTTGCAAGCACAACGGAACGTGCCAGCGAAGCAAGAAAGAACACATCTAATGCATCAACATTTCAGCTAGCCTGAGAAGGAATTCCCAGGAAAAGCCACGTGTTGTAACAAGGGGAAAGCAACCACCCAGCACCGTTTGAAAAACAACTGGCAGATGGCTTGTTTGGACAATTCAACCCCACCCCGCAAGAATGTCAGATTGAGCTATATAGTAATCTTGCTGGTGCTCCCCCATTTGGGTATCCAGCCCAGCTAATCCTGATAACCGTTGAGATTTACCAAAAGCTTTTTGAACGAAGAGTTGTGCATGTATCATCTCTGCAAGGCACACAACGCCCCTGCAAGCCGTATCAGTGTCATCCTCACTGGGAATCACCTCCTGCCGCAGCTGACCATTGATCTGCCTAACTCAAATGTTGCCATTGCTGGCTGGCAGCAGCTTTCCAGTTTTTCCTAGCCTTACCTGGAGATGTTGGGGGTTGAGCCCGGGAACCTCTGCATGGGCTCTGCCACTCACCTGGGCTGGACAAACATTGCCCCCACTACGGCTGAGGCTGCATGTGTGTCTGTACTCTGAACGAAGAAGCTTACTGCATCTTGCAGCATCCCTCCGTCAACAAGGCTCAAGACATCACAGATATGGGGAGATGTTTCGTCTTGATACCTAGAATGTAGTTTAGGACTTCTTATCCAGGGAAGGGGAGAAAACAAGACTAGCTTCATGCATGCAACCCTGAGTCTAAGGGGGCCAAAACCTAGAAGTGTAGACCCAAATCTCTTATTTCTGCATAGATCCAATTATAGTTTATTGGGAGAGGGGGTCTTCAGGCCCGGGGTATCAAATGCTGCCCTCTGGGTCTGGCCCTCAGAACTCTCCCCAGACCACACCCCCTCACTTGACCTGCTTTGCATCTTTTGAGTGTTTGCCCGGCTGAGATGCGTCTTTGAACTCTGGTCCTATCTTGTGCTTCCCTGGATGGGGGAGCGAGAGAGCTGTGTGTGTGTTTGTTTGCATGCAGAAACCAGTCTGCTGAAGAAGAGGAAAATTCACATTCGCTGGGTCACTCACTCTTGCCTCTGGGGTCATGTGGCACCTGGAAGCTTTCTTTGCCTTGTGAAATTTAATTCCAAGCAGGCCTTACAGAGAATCTTCTTCCGCTGTCATCTCTTTATATCAACCTTCCTTCTGCATGTTTCCCCAGGAAGAGGAACAAACACACATCTCGGAAGACCATAGCAGGCCTCCGGACAATTGGGATAATGTTGTTTCAACTTTTCTTGTAAAAGTATCCTGGAGGCTTTTGAAAACAACAACAAATAAAACTTTTGCATCCTGCTATTCTACCTTTTAAAATTGTCAGAAATCTCAAGGCATATGTTAAAGCCCACCCACATTAAAAAAAATGTGGCAAAAAGTAGCAGGATTTCTGGAGAGGCTGGAGGAGCATCTTTGGTTTCAAACAACATCAGCCCGCTGCATTGCAGATCCTGCATCATTCACAGGCCAGAGAGAGAGAGAGAAATACTCTCAGCTGAATTAATTCTAATGCACAAGACTATTAGAGAGTAATGGAGAAAACGCGGTTACTGTGACCCCTGGTGGCAGAGAGAGGTACCACAGCTTAAATAAACACGGCCCAGGATGTGCAAAGCCAGGGAAAATATTCACCTGCAGAGTGGAGAAGAGGTAGCTGTGTCTTTCTAGTAGCATCAGGGCAAGATGTCTCAAGGGTTAGAAGGGTGTGTGTGTGTAGCACAGTTCAGAGCAACCTGTTGGTTTGAAGCATTAAACCACAGTCTGTGGAGGCAGAGTTATGGGAAATAGGGCTCCTTACATCAGCTTTGGCTGTCCCTGAAATATGAAAGCTGGCCATTATAACAACTGTTTTAAAAATCGGTGCCCAAGTTTCCCCCTCCCTCCCTTTCCCCTAGTGTGCAATTTATTTACTTATTAAGCTTGAAAGCTTGAATCCACATTGGCAGCTGAGGAAGCAAAGAATACCCTGCTGATAAACAAAACTATCTCAGAATGTATGCGGCTACCAATTTTGGGGGAATTGCACATTTAGGTGAATTCAGACTAACAATCTAAAACACAAACATCCCTCGCATAGAAGTACGACCAGACTGTACTGCTTTGTTTGATTCCGGCTGAGGAGTCAAGTGGAATTGAAATGACACTTTTTCTTTTGCTTCCCATTCATAAAAGCTTTCTTCTCAGTGCTGTTTGGCGTCCGGTAGGACTGGTAGGGCAGAAGTCAGGGAGACTCCTTGCTGAGTTCCACGAAGGCAACACTGAGACTTGGAAGAGTTGACAGCGACAGTGCGGCCCCGTTACTGTAAGAAAGGCAGGCAAATAGATGAGGAGGGGATGGGCTGAGGGTAGACTGAGGTTGGTGGGGCTCATTCGCCCTAATGGGTGACATCCGCTGCCAAGAAGTGAGCATGAGAGTACATGGAGGGTTTACAGAGTAGCATAAGCAAGCACATGCTCTCTGCCCCAAGGAACTTAGCAAGGATAACATGCAGTGTGGGGCTGGAAGAGGGGAAGGCAACAGGGCTGAGGTAGCAACAGGCTTTCGGTCAAGAAGGTCTACATATCATGTCTGCGATTCCCTCCCTAGGCAAGTTATTCACGCAGGGTAGCAGGCAGGCAAGAACCACCACGTTCACTGGAAGAGGTGACGCGAACGAGATCTGAAGTGGAATTAAAATGCTTTCAAGAGCCAAGCCACCAAGTTGCACAGGCATGGCTGGTTTGCAATGGCAGAGCGGTGGTGGAGCGCCCTTTCAATTTGAAAACCGTTTTCAGGTTAACGAGGGAAACCGTTTCATCACAGAATTGGCTCAGAGAGGTGTGTTTTCTTTCTTTTTTTTAATTCGCTGACCCAGAGACCGCTACGTCCCTCACAGTACAGTTTAAGCTAAATTTAGGAGAGGCGACACAGAAGTGTACTTCGGAATATACATGCTACAGTTTCAACGCTTACACTTTAAAGGCCTTTTAAAGTCACAGTTTGTATCAAATCCCTCCAAAGAATTCAGGGTGGTCTACAGTGCCATTGTTTTTCTTTAAAAAATACCCTGTTATCCTCATAACTGCCCTGTGAGGTAGGTTAGGCTGAGAGATTGTGACTGCTCTAAACTATCCCAGCTACTTTTTATTTTAATCAAGCGGATATTTGAACCTAGGTCTAGGTCTTGAACTGCACTGGTTTTCCATACCTTTCTTCTGTGGCTTGCCACCCCCTTATATTTAAAACATTGACTTATTTTAAAGTAAACGTGATGCTATTTTCTCTAGATGTCAGTAGGTCAGAAGACATCCTTGTGCATGGGAGTGGAGACCAGCTCAGTTAACCAAAGCGCACTTGCAGAGGCGAATTTAAGAGCTTTCCTTGGATCCAGCACTTGCTCCAGGAATTCTTATGCCAGACCTCTCCTGGGGAGGCAACAGTGTCCCAACAGTGGTACAAAGTGCAGAGACCTCTTTCTACGTATGCCAGTCAATTAGGGAGGCTTTGTTTTGGGAATTTCAGCCTCTTGGTTCAAAATGTGGCATGTGCTACTAGGCTTATGACTATTGAGGCAGGTGAGCCTGGAATCTACAAGAATTATAGCTTATTCTACATTCTGAATTCAGGCCAGGTGGGAAAAAAGGTTGCAGCTTTTGATACCATCAGCCCCTGAAAAGTGGTGTCACATCTTACTGTTATATGTCTTCTGCTCCCACTCGGAGTCAATGACTGCAGTGCGAGCCCTTCCCAAAAATGCTTCAGGCTAAAAAAATGTGGCAGTACGTACAACAAACTGGCCAAGACATCCCTACATTAATACAAACAGCACTATTGCTAGTTTTAGGGTTCGATGTTGGACACACACACACACACACACACACACACACACACACACCATAAAAGAAGGCTAACTTTCATGAGTTATGCTAGAGGACTGGCCGCCATGAGTTCCCTGGCCAAGATTTGCTGTGGCCAGATAGCCTGCTCAAGAGGCAGGAATGGCGCATGGAGCAAACAGTGTCTGCCGTCAAACAGTGCTTAGAGCAGCCTACCAGATTTGGGTGGTGGGGGAGTAGCCATTGGGGAACAGTTCATCACCCCCTCTTCACAGTTGTCCACAGCAAATAAAACATGGATGTCAGACAGGGGCTTTTAGCAGAGAAAAAGGTCCAGCTTGTCCGGTTTTCCAGCTCTTCCTTCTTTTCCTCTTTCTGCCTCACTAAGAAAACGTGACAATTACGGCTGCGTCAGCCAGTCCACTAAGAACATTTTACACAGAGTAGGCAACAAAGTAAAATTATTGTTATTATTATTATTTTTTAAAAAGTGTCCCGCTGGAATGTTTCCCATGTGCAAACTTGGTGGAATCTGAGCTAGCAACGAATACGGTTAAGTTACACCTACCACCTCTAGGAATCGCCCTGTCGGCAGGTTCCTTCCTAGAGACGTCTCGTCGGACCAGGGTGCAACACCCGCCCATCAAGCTATTTACATAACAACTATGCCGCTTACATTTTAAAATAAATATAGCTGTGTGCAATCTCTAAGAGGTGTAATGACTTAAGAATGAGGTAATAAAACCCAGCTGCATCTACGTCTCATTGTCGGGTGAGCGCATGTCACTGAAAAGTTCAGGCAGGAGGGTGCCGGTGTGTCGGAGGGGGGGTGTTGCTGCTGCTCCTCCTTGGCTTGGCGCTGTCCGGGGATTGTGTACTCTCCCCCCTTCCTCTTTGCAAGAACTACCCTTCCTTGTCTTTCTGCTGCCCAGGCGTGTAGGTGTGCAAAAAGTTCTTCAGCTTCGTGGGGTAATCCGTCATCACGCCTGTCGCGCCCAAATCGAACGCTCGCTGGTACTCTTCGTCTTCGTTGAGGACCCAGATATACACCTGGAGGGAGAGAAGGCACGCAATGGATAATGCCTCCCAATACAACTTTTGCGTATGGCTGCTTTTCAGGGGTCAGCAAACTTTTTCAGCAGGGGGCCAGTCCACTGTCCCTCAGACTTTGTGGGGGGCCGGACTAGATTTTGAAAAAAAATTAATAATAATAATGAACGAATTCCTATGCTCCACAAATAACCCAGAGATGCATTTTAAATAAAAGGACACATTCTACTCATGTAAAAACACGCTGATTCCCAGACTGTCCGCGGGCCGGATTGAGAAGGAGATTGGTCCGGATCCGGCCCCTAATTTGCCTATCCATGGGCTAAGGCCTCAACTGAAACTGAACCTAAGCAGGAATGCTGGCATTTGCTACCATTCATCCTTCATTAGTCTTGTCACCCACTTTTTAGTTTTTATTTAACAGAATTCGTATACTGCCTGATTGTAAACCTCTAACCAGTTCCCCCCTCTCTCTCTCCCCACAAACACACACACAAAATAAAAGACAGTGGAAAATGAGCATTAAAAACAACTCAAATATAGCTAACGTTTATAATAAGGTAAAAACACAGAGAACTGCTTTCTGCTGAGCCAGACCAATGTTCCAACTAGCTCAGTATTGTCCACACAGAGTGGATGCTGCTATCCTGGGAGGCGACATTTCCTAGCCCCAAGGGGAGTTGATGGGGAGTAAATAAGCATGTTGATTTTTACAAGCTTCTTTCCCTTTGCCCTCGGCTTTTGGGTGGGGAGGGAGGAAAGACGAAGAAAGACTGGAGGGTCAAGACAAGAGCATGAAACATAAAGCTTGTCCAGAGGTGAGAAGGTTAAGCAACGCTGCCCATCCACGTTTCCCGTAAGCTGAAAAACAACAGCCAGCCCTCCTGTCATGAGGACCAGAAACATGATCTCCAGCGTACAGGCATGCTCCGTGGTGGCTGTGCATACAGGATGATCAAAGCTAGTATAATGTGAGCTGGAAGTCACTTGCTCAGGTACTAGGTCAGTCAGAAGGAGTTAAGTATCTTTTGGCATCAGATAAGTCACTTTCGGGGACGCAGGTGGCGCTGTGGGTTAAAGCCTCAGCACCTAGGACTTGCCGATCAAAAGGTCGGCGGTTCGAATCCCTGCGGCGGGGTGCGCTCCTGTCGTTCGGTCCCAGCGCCTGCCAACCTAGCAGTTCGAAAGCACCTTCGGGTGCAAGTAGATAAATAGGGACCGCTTACTAGCGGGAAGGTAAACAGTGTTCCGTGTGCTGCGCTGGCTTGCCAGAGCAGCGATGTCACGCTGGCCACGTGACCCAGAAGTGTCTGCGGACAGCACTGGCTCCCGGCCTATAGAGTGAGATGAGCGCACAACCCTAGAGTCTGGCAAGACTGGCCCGTACGGGCAGGGGTACCTTTACCTTTACCTTAAGTCACTTTCGAAGCATCAGCAGCACATCAGAAAGAGGAGGTTCAAACTGGCTTTCCTTAGAATCCCAAAAAGCAGGGGTGGGAGACCTCTGGCCAGCAGAGGTCAATTTTGGGGCCTGCCAGGCCATGTCCCCCCATGCCTACCTGCTTGTGAAGTCATCTGATGGGTGGGAAAGTGGGGTTAAATCCTGCATCAGCTGTGCACCTATTACAGGGAACAGGGGTGCACAGCCAAACTGAGCAGGATTCAACTTCTGCCTATCAACTGATGAGCAGGGGTTAAATTGTGCTCAGTTTGGCAGGATTCCATGCAGTAAGGAGATCCAGTAAGGAAGGGGTTCGCACAGAATCTCCTGCTAAAATGGGAGAAAAAAACTTCCTCTTAGCAGCACTTTGCAAGGTGCTTTGAAGTTCCAATGTGACATCAAGTGACTGACAGGTGGAGGGCGCCACCCGGCTGTCAAATTCAGCACTCAAGGCTGATCCCGATATGGATCTGGCCCAAGGAGGCAAGAAGGCTCCCCACCCTGGCTACAGGTTGAGCGGAGGTGGGAGTCAATGCAGCGCTTGAGTGAACTATGTGGGATCCCACTTAACACATGCCAAGTTCTTTAATGTGTTGTTTATGTCACACTTTTCTGAGGTTAGTTGGAGAGGGGAACAGAACAGAGCAGTTCCCACACAAAATTTCAGAAGATCTGTGTTACACTGTACCTGAATTCCTCGAGCAGTGAGGTGGTCAAATAATGCTTTCCTCATTAACAATCTGCAACGACAGGATAGTAAGATCATTGACACATCTATCAAAGGTGTGATATACACATATATACATATACATACATATATATATATATACAGTGGTACCTCGGGTTACATACGCTTCAGGTTACAGACTCCGCTAACCCAGAAATAGTGCTTCAGGTTAAGAACTTTGCTCCAGGATGAGTACAGAAATCGTGCTCCGGCGGCAAGGCAGCAGCAGCAGGAAGCCCCATTAGCTAAAGTGGTGCTTCAGGTTAAGAACAGTTTCAGGTTAGGAACGGACCTCCGGAACGAATTAAGTACTTAACCCGAGGTACCAGTGTGTGTGTGTGTAGCTATACCTCCCTTTCCACTAAACTAGCACTCCAGGCACCCGACAAATTAATGCAAAACAAGCTGCACTTAGACCTACAGTTTATTGTGTTAGTTTTACTGGTTATTACGCTAGCACTTCTGTCATGTCTTCTAACGTTCCTTTCACACTGAGGCACCTGCTGAGTTATGGAACTGTGGCTCTTTGATTGATAAAATTGCCACGTTCTGCTAAATTTTAAACAGTGGGAGAGAACTGCATGCTGGAATTGCATGCAGCCGGAATACTGCCCCAAATGTCAGCATGTAAAATTACAACATGAATTCTCAAGTTTATGAGGTTGCAAACAGATCTGCCCCCCCCCCCCGAAAATTAATACAGAAATGAGTTCCAAGCCTCTGCTAGATTCCACTAGATTTCCTAAACGGCTTTTCCAATGTGTGAAAGATCACATAGAAGGTAGAAATTGACCAGTAAGGAAACATTGGGAAGACGGAATAAATAAAATCTGATGATTTTAAAAGTATGGGTAAACAGGATGGGCTGTATTTTCTACCAGGCCTCGGGTGTGTTTAAACCCAGTTTTGTCTACTCTGACTGGGAGAGGTTCAACAGGCGAAGCAACATCTTTCTCACACCTGCTTCCTGATCCTTCTAAGGGGGTGGAACTGAGATTCTCTGCCTGGAAAACATGTCCTCTGCCACTGAGTTTTGGCTCCTCCCCCAAGCAGCACTTTGTACATTATCGGCAGGATATGCCCCTGTGGCATGTCTGGCTGTGCCTGCTAACTGGGAGGTGGCAAGGCTAGAGTAACGAACAAGCAACCGCCTTGGGAAGGAGGGCTCAGATAATTCTACAGCGCCTCTGCACCGGTACCAGAGGATGCCGAGATACAGAAAAAAAAAAAAAGAATAACCCACCAGTGGAGGCTAGTTGGAGGGAGGCACTGAAACATTCAGAGGTGAGTGTTCTGGGCTCACGGGAGACTTGAATATGCCTAATGCCTAATATGAGGTCCAGCGCCGAGGGCCTTCTGGCGGTTCCCTCATTGCGAGAAGCAAAGCTACAGGGAACTAGGCAGAGGGCCTTCTCGGTAGTGGCACCCACCCTGTGAAACGCCCTCCCAGCAGATGTCAAAGAGATAAACAACTACCTGACATTTAGAAGACATCTGAAGGCAGCCCTGTTCAGGGAAGTTTTTAATGTGTGACATTTTAATGTACAGTGGTACCTCAGGTTAAGTACTTAATTCATTCCGGAGGTCTGTACTTAACCTGAAACTGTTCTTAACCTGAAGCACCACTTTAGCTAATGGGGCCTTCCACTGCTACCGTGCCGCCAGAGCCCTGAAACTGTTCTTAACCTGAAGCACCACTTTAGCTAATGGGGCCTCCCACTGCTACCGTGCCGCCAGAGCCCAATTTCTTCACTCATCCTGAAGCAAGGTTCTTAACCTGAAGCACTATTTCTGGGTTAGCGGAGTCTGAAACCTTAACCGTATGTAACCTGAGGTACCACTGAATTTTTAATCTTTGTTGGAAGCCGCCCAGAGTGGCTGGGGAAACCCAGCCAGACGGGCGGGGTACAAATAATAAATTTATATATTATATTATATTATATTATATTATATTATATTATATTATATTATATTATGCAAAGAGCCTGACCATTTGGGATATAGAGCTGTGGATCAGGGAAGCACTGGGAAGCCCAAACAGCAAGAGTAGTTGGATCACGGGAAGAGTTGGAGATAACATTTGAAAACAGGCCCTAAGAGGTGTTACTCCTTTTGAAGCACTGCATTCGGGGAGAGGGGTGAGGCTTCTGCTCTAGAGGAGAATGACGGCACTATGACAAAGGGCTGAGGAGGAAAGCTAGCCTTACGCGTCAGTAAGCCATATTGTAAACCGCTGGCTCCTTGAGATCTTCTCTGATTCTTTCAACCTAAGAAGAGAAGAACTCGTGTTTACAGGACTGCCATTTTAATACATGCTGTTAGCAACTGGGAAAACAGAAAAGGGATCACAATGGTCTCGGCGACAGCAGCAGTTCCAGGAGGGCTCCTGTTGTTCCGCGCTGAGTGTAGCACAGATATCGAGCTTGTTGGGCTTTAATGCCAAGCGGCTGGAAGATGCACTCAGAGCCTGAGCAAGGCCACAAGGCCCTGTTGCAACACAGTTTCAACATGAAAAATGTAGGGAATTGGAATGCAAGCACCACCCGTTCAAAAACATACAGAGAAGCCCGGATCCCTTTTACTATCATCCCTGCTGGAGCAAGGAGCACACCCACAGCCCTATACGGGTTTCTAGCCCTTCTCTCTCAGAAGTCAAGGGTGGATGAATGCGATTTCCCCCCAAAAGCTGGGGGCAAACCTTTGTGTTAGCTTCTTGCCCCTTCTGTGCTTAGCAAGAAATTAGCTTATGCAGGGTAATAACAGCAGTTCATTACTTTATGTAACTTGTAAGCAAAAAAACAGGCCTTTAAACAGTTTACTGTATAAAAACCAAATCACCATATTTTTCGCTCTATAGGACGCACCCGACCATAGGACGCACCTTGTTTTAGAGGGGGAGAACAAGAAAAAAAAATCTCCCCCTCTCTGGTCAGCACCCCTTCAGCAAAGCGGCAGGAGGAATGGAGCCCCTTCCATTTCTCCTCCCGCTTTGCTGAAGGGGCGCTGCACAGCTCTCCCTCTCTGCTGAAGCCAGGAGAGTCTTGCTCTCCCGGCTTCAGCAAAAGGAACCCAAAGCCTTCGGAGCGCAGCGCGAGTTCCCGCTGCGCTCCAAAGTCTTCAGGTGGCTATCCCTGAAGCCTGGAGAGCGAGAGGGGTCGGTGTGCACCGACCCCTCTCGCTCTCCAGGCTTCAGCGAAAGCAACGCTTAGCCTCCGGAGCGCGGAGGGAGCACTCCCTCTGCACTTTGGAGGCTTCGCGTTGCTATCGCTGAAGCCAAGGAGCCTGCATTCGCTTCACAGGACGCACACACATTTCCCCTTCATTTTTGGAGGGGGGAAAGTGTGTCCTATAGAGCGAAAAATACGGTACTCAAGCATTAAGAACTGAATGGGGCAATTCTGTAAAAGCAACAGAAATAAATGTGCCTGATTTATGCACAGATCATAAGAATTCAGCATTTCTTTTTCTTATTAAATAAAAAAGCAACCAAAGACTTCCGAGTGACACCACAGAACAAAGGTAGGAATTTCATAAAATTCCTCTTACTTGTCTTTTCTCTAAACTAAAAAGTCCCAAACTCCACAACCTTTTCTTCAGAGTAGGCAATATTAGCCTGGAGAAGACAAATCATTTGACTTGTTTTAAGGCAGCTTCCTTCTGTTTCTACGAGAGCTTTGAGGAACCTGGTGAGCTTCGCTCCACTGTGCTGCTAGCACCACTGAAAACAAGCAACTTACTTGAGAATGATGGAAGGCATAGGAATCTCCAAGAACTCCTCCAGGATGGGAAAGAAAGGCAGGAGGCCAGTATAGAACAGGCCGAGGAGGAGCAGGACACGTCGCAAGCAGAAGAGGATAGGGATGTGGGCGTTCTGGAGAAATAGAAAGTGAGAGATAAAATAAGGCACAAACACAGCAGCTTTAATGCACAACTAAGGCCAGTACAAGGACGTGGGTGGCGCTGTGGGTTAAACCACAGAGCCTAGGACTTGCCAATCAGAAGGTCGGCGGTGACGGGGAGAGCTCCCGTTGCTCGGTGCCAACCTAGCAGTTCAAAAGCACGTCAAAGTGCAAGTAGATAAATAGGTACCGATCCGGCGGGAAGGTAAGCGACATTTCCGTGTGCTGCTCTGGTTCACCAGAAGCGGCTTAGTCCTGCTGGCCACATGACCCGGAAGCTGTACGCTGGCTCCCTCGGCCAATAAAGCGAGATGAGCGCCGCAACCCCAGAGTCGGTCACGACTGGACCTAATGGTCAGGGGTCCCTTTACCTTTAAGGCCAGTACGTTTGGCGCATTTACAACCCAGCCTTTACCACACGGCCCCAAGGTGGGGGACATGTATAGTATTTTAAGTTGCTAGAGCATCTGAGCAGGAGCCCTAGTTTTAAATCCCCTTTCAGCCACGGATTTCAGTGGGCGATTTTGGGGCACTCACAATCTCTCTCAGCCCACCCTACCTCACAGGGTTGTTGTGAGGATGAAATGCAAGGGGGGGGGAGAGGAATAACTGTACGTGGCCTTGAGGAAGGACAGGAGAAAAGCGTTGACAGGAGAAAGTTTATCAGGATGAAATGCTGGCCGCTTACCTCTTTGTGACACTTTTCAACTATCTCATGACTGACGTTGCCCCAAACCGTCAGATGTTCTCGCTTGTAAAGGCTCACCAACTCTGAGACCTGAGATCAATATGAACACAGAGGGGCTGCTGTTTTTTTGTTTGTGGCAATTACACAATGGGGCAGGGTTTCTTTAATGTTATTTCTCAGTCCTCAAGTCATTGGATTATTTCTCTAGATGAGGGTTTCCCAAACTTTGGTCTCCAGCTGTTACTGGACTACAACTCCCATCATCCGTAGCTAGCAGGACCAGTGGTCAGTCAATGTTCTCCCAGTTTGATGAAATACACAAATGGGCTTTTGAGAGGAACCAGACTGGGGTGGGGTGGAGTCTCACCTTTTTAATCAGTACGTCATTGTTCACCTTGATGTCTATGTTGACAGGAGTGTGGGGGAAGTCCTCAAATACCTCTTTCAGGAGGGGGATGCGCTTGTCTTCACCTTCGCAATGGCACTCTGATGGACACAAGCAGAATTTGGTTGCTGCTGGGGACACTCGCAAGCTGCCATCATTTGCAATGGGGAGAGCTAGAGTTGTTTCACATGTTACATGGCAACAAAGCTGATTTGGTGCTGGGTTAACATATGAAGCGGCTGTCACGCCACCGGGTCCACCCAGCTCAGCACTGCCTACACTGGCTGGCAGCAACTTCCAATGACATAAAGTTCAATTACAGAAACCCAACAATGCCATGAACAAAAAAAAATAAAATAAAAAATTCAAAAGTGGTAAGGTCTTCCAAATATTACCTTTCTGGAATGTTACATCCAATCTGCAGAGGTACGGTGGGAGTTCCTTTAAATAAATAATAAAAAAAAAGACATGGATGCGTTAACTCCACACAGATGCTGATTTACACAATCTGATTGCGCATCATCATCATCATCCAGAGACAGCCTTGTTTCAACCTCTCAGACCTTACACATCAGGTGCTCTGGAAAGAAACATCTAGGGAAGAGTTATCTGTAATTTATTTTTAAGTCACAGGAACAAGAGTAATCTTCGCAGAGAAAGAACGTTGGGTCTTATTGTGAAGGAAGTAAACAAGGGGGGAAATGCTATTAAACATACACAAACAAATTTGCAGAGGAAGATTGGGCTAGAATTTGACTTTTAAATAGAAGAACTAATCAGTTCAATACAGTGCTTTTTTCCTAGAGGGAGAGCATGGGGCCTTGCTCAGCTGAGTGCGCCTCAGCCAATCAGCTTAAGAGGAAGCACAACAGAAAGATCCTGAAATAAGGAGACCACTGCAGAGAATCCAGGGAGCAAGAAATACCAGTGCTACTGTTATGGAGCTCCAGAAAAACGTACAATCCATTTTCACCACTGAAAGAATCCCAAGGTAGGGAACCTTTCGTAGCCTCCAAGGACCACATGCCAACTGGTGGTGCAGCCAGAGGCAAAAGTGAGGCAGAGCAGCTAACGCAGATCTTACTTTTGTACAGTAGGCTAGTTTTCCACACACATTTTCACACACCCCTCTCTACGCTCCATCCAGAAAAGCAAGAGGCATGATCAACATTGCAGCCAGGCAAAAATATCTGAGGTGCAGAGCAAGGCCAGGGAAGGGGTATGGAGAGTTCAGAAGGCTAGACAGAGGGAGCTAGAGGGTCACATTTGGGCCAGAGGTTCCCCACCACTGTGTTGCGTTTTATAATAGCAGAGCCTGATGTGAGTTTTTCAAATGGGCGTTTCCATTACCAGCCTTCTTAGCTACTTCAGCAAGCTGCAAGCCTCAGCAGGGGAGATCTGCAGGACTGTGGATGTGACCTTCTGCACTATTTTTCTATATTTAGAATACTTAAGCACATTATTAACTGTTTTCTAAGTCTTACAGGCAGCCTTCTAGACCTTTTGTACTATGAGTCCCATGATTTGTATGCAAACAGCATCGAGTTTTGCCATCAATTCAGCAGCATATAAATCATGTAAACAACCCCGGACTGCAGGGAATTGGAGTCTGATGTCCTATGGAGTGCACCCGGTTGGGAAATTAAGCGTTGGAGGAAAGAAGAGGGTGCTTATTTCAACTTACCGAGTATTCGAGGTCTGATATATTGACATCAACCCCGGTCGACCGTTTCAGATTCTCGTCATGAGACACGACGACTTGCTCATCCTTCGTCAAGTGGCAGTCAAGTTCCAGCATATCGGTCCCAACGTCGACTGCACTGAAGGCAGAAAGCAAACTTGAGCTTCTTTATTTTGGGGGGGGGGGTGGCAGCATGGAGAGAAGTACAGTGGTACCTCGCAAGACGAATGCCTCGCAAGACGGAAAACTCGCAAGACGAAAGGGTTTTCGGTTTTTTGAGCTGCTTCGCAAGACGATTTTCCCTATGGGCTTGCTTCGCAAGACGGAAACGTCTTGCAAGTTTGTTTCCTTTTTCTTAAAACCGTTAATACAGTTGCGACTTGACTTCGAGGAGCAACTCATAGCACGCAGTGTGGTAGCCTTTTTTGAGGTTTTTGAAGACTTTGGTGATTTTTGAAGCTTTTCCAAAACTTTTCCGAAACCGTGCTTCGCAAGACGAAAAAATCGCAAGGCGAAAAAACTCGCAGAATGAATTAATTTTGTCTTGCGAGGCACCACTGTATCCCAAACCATAAGAAAATATGCAGCTTAGGTTTCAGCCCCACTATAGGTCCATGTCGCCTGCAGTTCTGAGGCAGAACAGAGCTCCAGCCAGCCTGGAGCAGGAACCCTGAGGTCCCGTTCAGGCCTGACAGGCAAGGGAGGCATTTCAGGAGAGGAGAGAGAAAGAGAAGATAAATATCTCCTTTCTCTCCATGCCCCCTTCTCTATGCTATATAGCTCTACAAGTCTTGCAGAGTACAATGCGAGCATTTTATTGTTATACTGCACAAGTGCTACCAGAGAGTGGAAATAAATAATAAATAATAATAATAATAATAATAATAATAATAATAATAATAATTTTATTTAAACCCCGCCCTTCCCGGTTCAGAAAACAGGGCTCAGGGCGGCTAGCAACAAATTTAAAACAATTGATTAATTGATGCAACAAAAAACAGCATAAAATACAGTATAAAACGTGAATAACAATAAATTCAGAATTCAAAAATCAATTTAGGGGGGAATCCATCCCAATGAGTCCTTTCCTTTCTCCTTATAAACCACAGTGCAGGGAGCTTTTCAGCCTCAAAATGTACAACCGCAACTCTTAGGCCACCTGCACAAATTGAATGTTTAGATAGACACAGATGGGTGATTGATTATTTGTGCCCCACCCATCTGAATGGGTTACCCCAGCCACTCTGGGGGGCTTGCAACATATATAAAACCATAATAAAACATGAAATATTAAAAAAAACTTCCCTAAAGAGGGAAACTACCTCAGTTCTCTAGACATCTGCATAACCCAGGGGTTGTCAGCGAGAGACCCATGGGTGCAGTGGTGCCTGCAAAGCCTCCAAGCCTCCCGCCCACTGCCCCCTCGCTTATGATGTGGTGAGGACCACGACCTTTTCCTCCCTCAAAAAGTACATGGAGCTGAAAGAGGAGGCTGAAAGAGTGACGCTCTTTCCCACTTCCTCTCTCACCTCTATGTTCTTTTCCAGGGTCTAATTTCACCGGATCTCACTTTTACCCAGATCCCTAGAGAAAACAAAAGTGTGGACAGGCACATGCTTCCCTCATAGCAGGGGGCTGTCCCAGGGCTAGAGAAATAGCCAGAGGGGGTGATGCCTACAGCACTTGCTTAAAATTTCCAGATCTGGCTGAAAATGTCATTGAGCCCTGGCTTAGCACATCATGGGACGTTTTTATTCAGGCTGTGGAACATCTTTCTGCCACCAGGGGCCACAGTAACCTAACTTTTTATCCATTATTCTCCAACAGTCCTGTGCATTAGAATTAATTCAGCTGAGAGTATTTCTCTCTCTGGCCTGTGAATGATGCAGGATCTGCAATGCAGCGGGCTGCTGCTGTTTGAAACCAAAGATGCTCCTCCAGCCTCTCCTGAAGCCCTGCTGAGTCTGCCACATTTTTTTTAAAAAACGGTTTCGGTGGGTGGATTTTAACATAATGACACACACTTTGATATTTCTGACAATTCTGAAAGGTAGAGAAAAGCAGAATGCAAAAGCTTTTTTTAAGCCCCCAGGAATATATATATATATATATATATATATATATATATATATATATAGTCACTGTGCCCCACTTCTTGACATTACAGTGGTACCTCAGGTTAAGAACTTAATTCGTTCTGGAGATCCGTTCTTAACCTGAAACTGTTCTTAACCTGAAACCTGAGGTACCACTTTAGCTAATGGGGCCTCCTGCTGCCATTGCGCTGCCGGAGTGTGATTTCTGTTCTCATCCTGAAGCAAAGTTCTTAACCCGAGGTACTATTTCTGGTTAGTGGAGTCTGTAACCTGAAGCGTCTGTAACCCGAGGTACCACTGTAGATTGCATGCTAGTGAAGGGGTGGGGTGAACCTTTTTTCACACCAGCCTCAGAATTAGTAGGAAAATGTGATGCACCAATAGCTACTGACCATTTACATTCTGGTTCTCCAAGGACTTGAAACAAGGGTTCTGAATAGTTTATTTTCCACCTATAAATAAGGCATACAAGATGCACTGCTTGGCATCAGTGATCAGGAGTGCTAGATCAAGGCTAAATCCCTCCTTGCTGGGTGACCCTAAGGCAGTCACAGTATCTTCCCGTTCAACCTAGCCTACCCCACAGGGCTGCTGTGAGGAATGTATGGGGATAAACCCCAAGCACGCCACACTGAGCTGCTTAGAAGGCAGGATAAAAGTGCAAGAAGTAAGCTAAAAAGGTCAATGCGCTGGCTAGCTTGTTGAAATCAGACCCATACATGCTTGGTGTGATAAAGCTGTTTTTAAAAATGCTGACAAACCTTTCTTTTTTAAAAAAATGCTGCTAAACCACTCTGGTAACCAGTGTGGTGTAGTGGCTGATAAGCATCAACACTACAATGTTCTACGCACGTCAGACAAAATATGCAAACAGGGAAAACTTTGCACCCTGGAGTCTCGCCTTCAGTTGAGACACTGTGTTTGTGCAAAACATCCGACTGACCAAAGTCTTCACTTTGTTTCCCACAGGTCCCAATAAAGGCACTAATGAGCTCTTGCCTCAGCACCGTAAAGGAAACACTGAAGCCACCCAGCCCAAGAAGACGATAGCTCCCTTGACTATCTTGGTTGAGTGCTTAATTAAACAAAGTTGTTGTGTAATGTTAAACTCTTGCATTCGTGGCCCAAACACAACACAATAAAGCTATGGAAGACTCTAAACGCTTATCTCGGCTGGTGGCTTTGCAGGGAGCATGTTCTGATTTGAACGAGGGCTTAAGAGCCACCCAAATTGGTTCTGTGCTGTGGAATCCCTAGAGGTAGAAAGTGATAAAGAATACTCTTCCCAGTTTCATCTATGAGGTTCAGGGACACAGATCCAGTGACAGCAACCTCCTTCTCCAAGGAAGAACAGACCCCAAAGGAAAGGAAGCACAGTTGCTATTGAATGTGAGAAAAGTGCACATGATAAAACCACAAAGAGCCTTGTGGCACCTTAAAGGCTAAGAAATTTATTATGGCATAAACTTTTGCGGGCCCACAATCCATTGAGTGTAATCCTGAGCTGGCAAACCAGTGTGGTGCAGTGGCTTGAGTGCTGGACTAGGACCTGGGAGACCAGGGTGGAAAATCCCCAATCTGCCACCGAACTCACTGGGTGACCTTGGGCCAGTCACTGCCTCTTGGCCCTAACATACCTCACAGGGTTGTTGTGGGGATTAAATGAGGAGGAGAAGAAGGTACGCCACCTTGAGCTTTTCGGGGGAAAGGTGGCCTGCAATTGCAATCAATACTACTAATACTAAGAAACGCATATGGCCGGAAGAGGGGATTGTAGGGTTCAGAGGGAACTGAAATGCCAAAAAGAATAGCCAACAAGTTTACCAAAAGCAAGAGAGTTGGCAAGCAATTAGCAAGGCACACCCTGACACTTCATTCTTTATTTAAATAAAGCCAGTCTTCACAATCTTTATGAAATCTGAAGAACCTCCTTCTAAGGTCTGCTTTAGCAGAGCTAAAGAAGAGAAGAGGGGAAACTTTGTTGTGTTAAAACCATCACGTTTAGCTGCCATGGAGATTAGAACGGCCTGTGGCCCTTTTCAACAGCCTTGTTCACGCTAGGAAAATTCTAACAATGCCTAGCACTTTGGAAGAAAGTGTACAGTACTAGCTGTGATAATACTACTAAGTACAAAGAAAGACTTAAAAAACCTGAATCAATTCCTGGGTTATAATCACAACTCCCTCACAAAGGATCGGGCATGTGTGGTTCCTTCTGGTTCCCCACTGAGAAATCTGTAGTAATTTGCCATTTTGCAAAGAGTAATTGGATGCGGGGGAGGGGGGAGGCAACTCCAACTCGTTATTGATTCTGAAATTAATGCTGAAATCCACAGCCCACACATTTCAAGGTAGTCTTGAAGTAATACCTAGCAGCTTTAAGGAATTTACTGGAGAGTGTGTAGGTTGTAAAACAGCCCCGGGACTTCTAGCAGTTAAGAGCCACGCATCTCAGCCATGAGGGATGACCAACAGGAATGTCGAGGATCCAGATGGCCCATAAGATATCCTGGACCTAAGTTATTATGGGCCTTATAAACTAATACAGTCAAACCTTGGTTTTCGCATGTCTCGGCTGCCGAACATTTCTCATTTTTCCCTGCTGAACTTGCTGACAGCCTTTTGATCCTCGGTTTTTGAACATTTTGGAAGTCGAACGGACTTCTGGAATGGATTATGTTCGAAAACCAATGTTCCACTATACAAGGACACTGAATCTGACCTGGCAACATATGGGCAGTTGGTGCAAGTTTTTAAGCACTGGAGTTTATTTCATTTATCACATTTCCATCCTGCATTTCCTCAAATGGTAAGGTAAAGGACCCCGGACGGTTAAGTCCAAGAAAGGCGACTATGGGGTGCAGTGCTCATCTTGCTTTTCAGACCGAGGGAGATGCCGTTTGTCCACAGACAGCTTTCCAGGTCATGTGGCCAGCATGACTAAACTACTACTGGCATACGGAGGACCGTGACGAGTCTCAGAGCTCATATAAACGCAATTTACCTTCCCGCCGCACTAGTACCTATTTATCTACTTGCACTGGTATGCTTTCGAACTGCTAGGTTGGCAGAAGCTGGGACAGAGCAATGGGAGCTCACCCTGTAGTGCGCATATGAACTGCTGACATTCTGATCGGCAAGCCCAAGAGGGGTTTAGGCCACAGCGCCATCCACATCCCAATGAGTTCCAGGTGGCATATATACTCACCCTCTCTTGATATTCTCTTTACAACAACCCTGTGAGGTAGGCTAGGCTGAGCTTGACTGACTGTCCCAAGGTCACCCACTGAGTGGGGACTTGAACCCTGGTCACCCAAGACTTAGTGCAGCACTCTAACCACTGCACCACACTGGACTGCCAACTCAGCGATTGCTGTTGTTGGCATCCATCTGTCTTGGGATACAATGGAAGAGTGCACCTTTGGGGGTGAAGTCAAACTGCTGGAGAGTTACAGCGCCTGCTGTGGCTGTAAAGACTGATATGGAAGAGATATGTTTAACTGCAGGTTTAACTGTGTTTGGTTTTGATGCTACAGGTGCACCATGGCAATTTAGGCTTATGCTTAATGCATCTGCTAAAGGGGACTATGGCCCACTACAGCTTATGCAACAATATATTTGCTAGCCTTCAAGCTGCTGCAAGACCCACTGCGGTTCCAAATGCTTGATTTCAGTACACCTCTTTCACATGTGATGTGTTTGCTTTTCATGGCGTCTGTTCTTCTTGCCAAAAGGAGGTTATAGTCCCTGGAGACGTGCACCCGAGTCCCTGATCTGCATAGATAAATATTTTTTAATCACTTTGTACCTCTAGGGATTCCACATCACAGAGCCAATTCTGCTGAGTCTTCAGCCCTTGCTCAAATCAGGACACACACCACACTGATCTGCTGGCAGCAGTCTGTCCCCATCATCTGGTTAGTATGTGCTATAGAACATATGCAGTCTGTGTGCCCTGTGTGTTTTGCCTCTAAAAGCACTGGGATATTAGGCAACCATTAGCCCGGTACTAGGGAGAGGGCTACGCAGGTCTGACTCTGCCACAATCAAGCCTGCATGGATCACTTTCCCCTGTCCCAGACTGCAGCCACTTGTGGCACCTCTGTTGAAAGGCTGGGTGTCCTCTTACTAAAAGGTTCATTAATCCAGGGATATTGTCTATGAAATACAAGCTTTGACATTCATATATTTAATTGCAGGTGCAGATATACACCCACCCACCCTGGATTTATTTTGTTTCAGAAGCCAAAGCTCTCAGTGGCAAATAGGAAATACATTGACCTTTATTTCTCTGTGACCCTTGCAGCAGACTGCAAGGAACATCTGATAACTTTAGCCCACTGAACAGGTGCCTCTTCTCACTGCCCTCTGCTGTAGCTTTTTTCCAATGTGTATCCATGTGGCAAGGAGGCCCACATAGGAAAGCTTTTAAAGAACACGGCAAACCTCTGCACGGCATTCCCAGCCTCAAGGCCAAGAAGTAACACAAACGCATTAAACTATCTAACTTTCACAACAGTGACCTTCTGTGTTCAGGGCTTCAGCTCTGTTGAAAAGCCGGCACTGGAAGGCAGTTTTATGTTTTGGTTTGAAGGAAACAGAAACTTTTCTCCTGGGCTCTACTCTCAAATTTGTTATTCTTAAGCAAGCAATCTTGGGCAAGCCACAACTTGCACACCAGTATTCCCTCCATCACGTATTACTTTCCAAAATATTAAAGAGAAAATCCATTGGCTGGAGTTCAATTAATGTGTTCTGTCGATGCAAAGGTTCGTGTTTGTGCAACTGGTCTTCCTCTTTCCCTGCATGCCCTCTAAATCTGTTCTAGGGGTTCCTAGATTTACAGCTATTACTCTTTTTTTTTTTTTTTTTTGGAGGGCCATTCCACCACAGATGGAACCTGGCCAGGAAAGCAAGAAAATCCTCTCTCTCATCTGTTTTGCTTGTGGAAGGAAGGAGACACCTTGACAACACAGAGCCCACAAGACATCAGTCTGCTACTACAAAAGTGAAAAGATGCCTTGGAAGGTAGGTGGGGAGTTGAAGGGAGAAGCCTCTCCTCCAGCTTAAACCTGCCTCCCTGACCTGGAAAAGCCAACCCCACGTGCTGGACGGCTTCCTTTTTCAAGAGAAGTTAATAGAAGGGAGGACGACATTATGTCCTCTACAAACAGCAGCTCTTGTTTACACATGAAAGGAAACGCTAAAGTATTTCAGACACACAGATCCTTCAACGGAAACCGAATGCATGTAGGGAATGTGGAATGCCACCTGCAGGAAATGAGGAATGCCACCCACATCTCTGTAGCTCAGGGAAAGGTCAAATGAATAAGCCTATTGCCTAACCTGAACATTTTTATTGAGATAATTTATAAGCAAGACAAAAGCCTCAGGGGGCATCTGCTGATTAGCTCTCAAACACTGGAACAGATTGGACTGAAGCTAATCCAAGTGCTATTGTCCAAGAACAACTGGCTGTGTAAGCAGGTCGTAGAATCATAGAACTGTAGAGTTGGAAGAGACCCCGGGGGTCATCTAGTCCAACCCTGTGCAATGCAGGAACCCTGCCCACAGCCATCCCTGGGTGGACTCAAACCACCAATGTTCCGGTTAACAGCCAGGCCCACTGTGCCACTAGAGATGCACATGTGCCAACTGTCTGTGTAAGCAAATACTAATAATAAAAATTGTGATACTCACTGGCGAAAGGCTGCCATGGTATTTTCCAGATTCTCTCCAGCCCCTGTAGGGAAAAAACAGCATTTTAAAGGAAATAGCAACCACCTGGCAACAGGATCATGGCTGCATGTTTTAAGAGCTGCAAGGGAGCTAGGTGAATTTTGTGAATTCAAAAACTACTAAACAGGAACTCTTTGCACCTGTTTTGAAGATGCTCCTGTTTTAGTGGCTGGATTGTTTCATTGTGCATTTTGAGGTTTGTACTGAATGGATGTTTATATTTTAACGCTAGTGGAACAGTTCTTCATATTTTGCAAACCACAGAAAGCCTATTTTGGCATCAAGTGGCATATAAAATAATAAAATAATATTTTAAAGGCATTTCATGAATTTTATGGTTTGCTTGGCTCACCAAAAGGGAGAATAGTGCCTAGTTTCACCTCACAGGAATATATATACATATATATATATATGCTTTCGTAGATTTTCACGGGTACAGGAATGCAGGTTTTGGTGTCCTCGGGTGTCTTCCCGTGTAAAAGTTGGGGTGTCTAGGCGACGTTTCGACGAGGTCTCACTCGTCATCTTCAGGCTGGTGCTTTCGGCTTCTTGTTACTGGAACAGAGCAGGATCTCAGTGTTTGAGTTCCTATAAATACTGTTGAGGGGGTGTGGTGTATAGCCTCCAATGTTCTGGGCAGAGAGGAAGTTCCCAGGCTAGTGTGCCTATTCTTCCCAGGCTAGTGTGCCTATTCTTCTTTTGTTCCTTAATTACTTGAGGGATATCTTGAGTGATTTCTTGAGTGATGTTCTGAGTACCATTTAGGTGGGTCATAGGTGTGGATTAGTTGCTCAAGCCTTCGTGTCTTGACCTCTTGAACTTTGTGAAAAGTTTTTCTGAGAAGATGGCTGTACTGCACTTAGTTGTGCTCTGGCTTGGCTTCGGGTATAGGGGCGAGCTGTGGTTTTGTGCCCTGTGCCAGTCAGATCTGTGTAGGGATTGCAGGGGGGTGCAGCATCCGGAGGTGCCACCATGGTTTGGCTACTGGATGGTGTCTGTAATTTATCTGTGGAGAGGGTCTGGGTTTGGGTCTGGTGTGGTTGATTGGTGATGGCGTTCTGTGTGCCTCTGGATCTGGTGTCAGATCCAGAGGCACACAGAACGCCATCACCAATCAACCACACCAGACCCAAACCCAGACCCTCTCCACAGATAAATTACAGACACCATCCAGTAGCCAAACCATGGTGGCACCTCCGGATGCTGCACCCCCCTGCAATCCCTACACAGATCTGACTGGCACAGGGCACAAAACCACAGCTCGCCCCTATACCCGAAGCCAAGCCAGAGCACAACTAAGTGCAGTACAGCCATCTTCTCAGAAAAACTTTTCACAAAGTTCAAGAGGTCAAGACACGAAGGCTTGAGCAACTAATCCACACCTATGACCCACCTAAATGGTACTCAGAACATCACTCAAGAAATCACTCAAGATATCCCTCAAGTAATTAAGGAACAAAAGAAGAATAGGCACACTAGCCTGGGAAGAATAGGCACACTAGCCTGGGAACTTCCTCTCTGCCCAGAACATTGGAGGCTATACACCACACCCCCTCAACAGTATTTATAGGAACTCAAACACTGAGATCCTGCTCTGTTCCAGTAACAAGAAGCCGAAAGCACCAGCCTGAAGATGACGAGTGAGACCTCGTCGAAACGTCGCCTAGACACCCCAACTTTTACACGGGAAGACACCCGAGGACACCAAAACCTGCATTCCTGTACCCGTGAAAATCTACGAAAGCAAATATATATATATATATATATATATGTATGTATTATGAAACAGGGATGCATAACACAGACTTAAAACCAGTGACAGAAATGGTGCAACTTTGAGAAAGCTGCTTCCATCTGCCATTGCTAAATGGATTTAATGCTATCAAAACTGGCCAGACATCTAAGTAGCACTTGCAACAAACTCAATCGCCTATACTACTGTGCTCCAACAAAAAGTTCTTTGTCTTTCCTTCTTTATCCTTAAGGACCCAGTTTCACTGCACAGTAAGTGCCAAGTTGAGAGGCATGAGTCTGACACAGATTCTTGCCAAGGACTGCGGTAAGTGAGTGAGTGAATGTGGGTGCAAAGCTGTGTGGGGTCGATGCCAGTTTAAAGCCACTTAATATGCACTCCATGCAGCAACTCAGAACTCTTACCTCCAACATTTTGAACGTACAATGTTTGTTACTACAACATACAGCTGTGCACCAGCTGTTTTCAATAAGATATCCTAGACAAAATGTATTGTGTGCGAAACTGTCTGCAAACAGACACTGCAGTGGGTTAAGGAACAGCTTTAGCAAACATTTGCCACCCCATCCTTCCTCTTCCTCTCTCAAAAAGTCTAATCTACTGAGATGTCTTCTGATGACGTATGTGTCAAGCATAACCACTCTTCAGAGGCACTTGAAAAGTGAAAAAAGTACAATTTAACCATGGTCCCCTAACATTTAGAACCGTAAGGAGATTCAAAGCTTATTTACCCTCACCCACTCACTAACGCATGTGCTCACTGCCCTTCCTCCTTAAGGATACAGTTCATAGGTCACGCTCAGCTTAAACATACCAAACGCCTGTTAAATCAGGAAGCAAATGCATCAGCTCCACCTCCTCAACAGAGAAAGAGAAAATATAAGCTACGAACTCTGGTGTTACCAGGCAAGTTCTGCAAGGAAACCCCATCGTAACAATCCCTGTTCTCATTCTTTAAACACTGGCGGCTGGTACCCATTGGGAACGGCAGGGTGGAAGGTAGGGAGCCCCATATTAAGTGGCCAATTCTGGGTTTGCCACCTTCCATCTTCCTGCTGATTCTATAAAGGCAGAACAGGGTGAGGAAGAGGAAGTCTGGGCTCATTAACAGGAAAGGAATAAGCCAGGTACTTCTCCGCCACGCCTTGGTACAGATCCACACCTGCTGAATGACAGCCTGCCACATAGATGTGAAAATCTTTAGGGAACAGGACAAAAAGATGACAACCACACCTGACATGATGTACTGCTTGTAATTCTGAAACCTTTCTATTATTAGAATGGAAGTTGTACAGACTAAGACTTCAGACCGTCCAAGGTGGGATGGTTGGTGCACAGGGCGGAGAGACATAAGGAAGGCGTACGCAACATGATGCCCTTCCAAATGTTGTGGACAACAACTCCCATAATCCCCTGACCACTGGCCATGCCGCCGGGGCTGATGGGAGTTCAAGTCCAAAGCATGTGGAGGGCACCATGCTGACTGTCCTTGGTATATGGCATGGGGACAATTTTGTTGGACAGGGGAAGTATGGATCACAGATAGGTGCATAAAAGGAAGATTATACTGCAAAATGATTTGAATGTGCATATACCTGTTTGGTATATGTAGCTAATTAAATTTTATAAGCTCCCTTTGGAGGGTTTTGCCCTGAAAGACTGGATATAAATATCTTAAATAAAAATTAATGGATTTGATGAAATGCACTCTAATCCACCTGGGGGGGGATCTGTGTCTTCAATGCACCATCAAGGTTTCTGCTGCAACGTAATAGCATGACCACCTGCCCACTTAGTTGTTCATCTAATTACTATATTAACACATCTTGTTAAGTGGCTCAAGCACACATAAATATCACCACACTCAAACTTCTACGGAACAGTCATGTTTCCCCCTTACTAATTACCATTTCTACCTTTGCTGTGCTCACACAGTGCAATGGAGGAATTGGCAAAATTACAATGGAAAAATAAGCAGAGGACTCTAAATATTTGATTGCGTAGTTATGATTTCAGCTGTATGATCTGAGAGTCAGGATTAAGCGACCATTGAATCTGAGATCTGATCCACATTAAAGCCCTTGGCTGGATGTGGAGTGAGGCGAACTTCTCTCTAATTATAATATGGAAATCATTACTAGAAGAGGTAATGATTGCTTCTGCCTTAGATGGCTTTTTAAAAGTGTTAGTCAAACTTGGGTATTAGTACATCATAAAGCCTCCATATTCAGAGACATGATTCCTCCAATTTTCAGATGCTGAGGGCAAGTAACTAAGTGATCCTAGTCAACCACTTTTGGAAACAGAAAGTTGGACTACAAAACAGCTGGACAAAACATGTACCCAATGTACTTTTGCAAGGTAAGAGAAACACAACTTAGCACAGCACTTCATCTATGAGATCAGTCTCCCCCAACCTTTTGTGTTCCATATGTTGTTGAACTACAGCTCCCACCATGCAGGGCTCCTCTTGGGTCTGGTTTGGAAGTTCCAGCTGGTGAAGAATTTGGGATACCAGGCTGCTATTTGGCTGAAAACATGTGCACCATTGTTAAAGCATCTGCCCTGGCTGCTGCTACCAGGCCAGGCTCAAGGTCTTTGTATTAAAGTCCTGAACAACTTAGGTTCAGGGTACCTCAGGGTTGGCTGAACCCCTAATATCCCAGCTTGATCACTGAGATCATCAACTGAGTTGGAAAGGCCCAATTAACAGCTACAAGTACAGTGGTACCTCGGGTTACAAACACTTCGGGTTACAGACTTCGCTAACCCGGAAGTAGTACTTGGGGTTAAGAACTTTACCTCAGGATGAGAACAGAAACCGTGCAGCGGAAGTGGGAAGCCCCTTTAGCTAAAGTGGTCCCTCAGGTTAAGAACGGTTTCAGGTTAAGAATGGACCTTCAGAACAAATTAAGTTTGTAACCAAAAGGTATCACTGTACCAGAGTCCTTAATATCATTGGTCCGGTGTTGTGGAATACTTTGCCTACAGAGATTCAGCAGGCGTTGTGTCTGCTTTTCAACACCTGCTGGAAACTTTTCTAATGCATGCAGCAGGCTCCACAGGCAATTAAGAGAACTGTACATCTTTCCATATTAGTTGCTTGGTTTTTGATTTTAACATTTTCTATGTTTTTTTACTGTGTGGTTTTATGCATAACTGTAGCAGACGACTCTTGATTTTATTTTATCAATAGTGGTATATCATTATTTTCAGAAAGAAAGAAAATCTCCCCTGACCATTGGCCATGC